TAAAAAGATTTATATAACTCTCCCTCCCCTTTTCTCTCTTTATTTTTCTTTTTGGGTTGCTTCTTTTTATTAAAAAAATATATTAACATTATATTTATTAGTAAATATTAAGGTGGATATATTGACACCACGATTTCATATAAGTGCACTCCATTTTATTTGCATTAAAGATCCTTAATAGTTACTTATTATCGTACTTACGTTTTTAATTTTTTTTATCATATTTTTATCCTCATCTTTTCATTAATTTGTGTACATTTTGTCCTTGATGATGATTCCATTTAAAAATTCTATTTTAAAAGCATATATTTGTCATTCCTATTTTTAAACATGTAAATATAGAAGTGTATTTGCCCCTTATTTTAAATAACGCTAACATGATTTTTAAACGAAAATCACTGCTGAGACAATATATGCCAACCAGTGGAAGGTTAATAATAAGAATACAAAATCAAATTCAACCACCACCTACAGCATGCACTATTTTACAATTAACCTGACTGTAGATCCATTAAGAAATATGGGTTCTGTACATTTCTTATTAATAATAACAATAATAGTGATAATAATGAGAGTATTGCATATTACTTGTGATCTATGCATACTCTTATTCACTCTTCACATTAATAAATGAAATGAAATAGTATTTGTCCATTGTTATTTAGCAAGTTGTGCATACTTCAATAAATTTTCAAGCAGTAAAAATTAAGGAAAAGGTTTCAAATAGCTTATTTATTAATTTTTTTATTAATTACCATGGATAACTCTATTAGTTCTATCGATCATTGTCTAACAAGATCCTTCCGAATGGGAATCTCTTATGATAATCATCCATGCTTGATGGGACACGCATGTAAGAAGAAGTTTGAGCTTGATGCAAATGACTAAAATATCGTCTGCTGCTTTTATGTAATTTTTGCATTATCTATACAAAAGATAAAAACAATTATACAAATGAATTATAAATTTAACATGTAAATGTTAAAATAATAAACTATTACACATTATTTTTCAATGCCGAAAATAGTACAATAATTAATAAGGTCACGTGGGTATTTAGTTTTGGACATGTTTGCCATGTGATATAAATCAAAAGGCAAATATTGATGTTGACCAAGCATTATCTTTACTTTTTTTAGTGACTGCCATGTTTCATGCCGACATTGATCAAAACACTTCCAATTCTTACATCCTAATCAATGAACAAATGTCATAATTGGTACAACCAATATTTGTCTCTAAAAAGAACGAGCTTTGCTACAGTGACATGGTCGGTGACCGATCCGAAAATAAGGGTTGAGGTGGCTTCATCTCGGCCCTTAATCTGATTTTCAACAATAAAAATCAAGGATTGAGGTAGCGCCCTATTTTTTGGTCGGTCACCGACCCTGTTCGTTTAGCATTTTTGAAAAAGAACAATGATACAAGTATAGACAAATTGCACAAATAATTTTAAAATATGTTAGAAGGCAACATTTCATTGGATTTTGAATAAAATATAAAGTTAAAATAGTGTTGTGATCTCAGCACATGTAAATATGTGCAGTTTATCTATATAAGTATAATTTCTTGTCTAAAAATCTCTCAATAAATAAAATAATCTTGTTGGGCCGTATAACACGATATTCAGTTGAATAATACTATTTAGTACCACATGTGTTACAATATTAGATGGCACAAAATATCATTAAAAAAAATATACAATTAAATGAATCATGTAATTACACATTTAATTGAATTTATCACATTCACATAAGCTGGTGTTCCAACACTATAGGTGCTGGTATCATTATTGTATTCAATTAGATATTTATTTTATGCTTTTAACTGTTTATTAGATATTTGTTCACGATTGTTTACTAATTATTATCGTGCTTAAATCGCTAATGAAAAGGAAAGGAAAAAATTTGAGCCACAAGGATTTTGACATTAATGGAGCTTCTCTTTATGCTATATTCTTTTGAATGCGTTGTTTGTAAGTAAAACACTAAAAGACCATTAATTGTCCATATACATCCTTTGATACATTAGATACTATTGTTGTTGGCATTGTTGTTTGCGTAAAACTATGTAGCTCCGATCATTTTTTTTCAAAATCAGCCTCTTAAAGTAACGTAGGTTTGGAAATTATAAAAGTAAAAATTGATATTTTTGTAAAGATATATTAAATGACGTGATTTTAGAATTTTGAATACACTTCAAAACGTATTTGTTGTAAGACGATATTTGGATTTGCGATTGATTTCTTGGCAAAGATATAGTTATGCATCTCATTCACTAATAAATACATTATCCTATTATGTCATGCAACCCTAAGGCTGTAAGCAGAGAAAAATCCATCTTATGGATTATTAGGAAGGTAGGGGCCTTCTCCTTTTGAAGAAACAATCTTCATCCTTGTACGTTATAGGGATGTTTAGTTTTTTCTAAACGTTCATTTAGTGCGTGTGGGTTGGGAGGGGAGGGGAGGGTAGGGTGGGGGTGGGGACATCTAAGAATAAATGGTTATTTAATTTGTGAATTTAGATAATTAACAATGAAGTTTGCTACTTAAAAAATGTACATAATATGATGTGGATGAAAAATATTGGATGAAAAAATTGATTATATTTTAAACTCACGAATGGTAGAACGTCATGTGATATTATTTAATCCATTATACAAATCTTGATATACATATGGCAAGATCCATTAACAAAGCGTAGACAGTAGAAAGTTTCTTCTAATGGAATATGATTAACAACAAATTGTAAGAAGTGGCATCTCATCATATTCTGGATTACGAATTCATATTTGATACTTTGAATGGAACCAAAATTATAAAGATTACTAGCAAATTCAATTTATCCATGTACATCCAATTTGTCTAATAAAAAATCCTTCTAGAATGTGATTCTAACTATATATTTAGCCTCTGATTGGCTACAATTTTGTGAAGATTTTAATCAATTATACACAATGGTGGGTTCCATTTCTGTAGTCATTATTGATTGCACAAACTACCAATACCCAGAAGTGCTGACGTTTGCATAATAAGAAATTAAATGTTGAAGGGCACATTGGTCATATTAATTAATTCAGTCAACTGCTGCGGCCACCTTCACTGACAAATTAATGTATAACAAAAACAAAATGAATTAAAATCTCGCCGAAACAAGCGCTTTGTGATTTCATTCTCTATTTCAAACTCCCACGTTTAAATAAGTTTGATTCTTTGTTGAATTATAAAAACCACTTTTTTAATCTTTTTATCGAGAATCTAAAGCAAATATTTCCTATCTCTTTACTTCAGTACACAAGTGATTCCTAATGTTTATTTCTTGGCACTGACGTTACTAATTTACGTGTTTGGTGTGCAAATGATAATTTTATGTAAAAAGACCAATATACCCTTCATTTTAATTAGGAAAATTGCATTTGGATCCCTAACCTTTTCCAAAGGTGCAAAAGGGTCCAGTACCTTTATTTTTTATAATAAGAAAATTAAAGAAAATTAACGAATTCTTTTACTTTTTCAGATCAATAATAATATATATTAATTCTTTTACGAAAACTAAAATGAAATAACTTATTTTTAAGCTTATATTTAATCAACCTTGTGTAGGGAACTTGATCCTCAAATTACATTAATTTAATTGCGTTATTTGTTAATTGAATACGTGCATCAAAGCTCCAAATGTATTCTTTATAATTTAATTTATATTTTCATTATCATTCAATAAAGAAGTAAAAAACATAATTCTTATATTAATTTTTTTTATCAGTACCTTATGTTAACAGAAAACACTTTTACGTCATAAGGCAATTACATACACTTTAAGCACGATCATTTAATTTATTTTTTTTTCTCTCTTCTAAAATATTTAATTGAAACGACTTTAATGATATATTTATTATGCTAATTTAAAATTGTTAAATAAAGGTGTGAGACCCAAATGTACTTTTTCCAGATTTAAAGGACCTAGCTGCAATTTTTTCCAATTGAAATTAAAGATACATTGGTCTCTTTTTATTTATAATATAAAGAGGGACATATTATGCACAAAACAATAGATTAGGGATGTCTATGTCATGAAATAGACGTTACGGACCATTTCGGTGCCAAATCCCCTATTTTTTTATTTTTTTATTTTCCTTTTATTTGGAACCTCTAAGTATTCTAATCTAGATTATCTTCAATAATTTTATAGTATATTTGGTAGGGGTTTATTAGACAATACTAAATAATATTATTTAAAAAAGCTAAAAATATTTGTTACAAAAATCATAATTAATTAATTAACCATTTATTTATAAGGGTTTATATGAAAACTTAGTTTAAACAAACTAAAATTTAAAAGAATTTAAAATAAATTAAATGACAAAAATAGCACTGAAATTTCAAATGCAGTTTCGAGTTCTAAACGAATTCGAATGACCAAAATTCAACGTATATCACGGCAAAGTGGTGAGTTTTACTCACATCGTCGTTCTCCTTTCAAAATGGTATTATAAATCCGAATCGGAGTTCGACTACCATACTTGCACTATTGTCTCTTTTTTTTAATCGATCTAATTCTTTTTCAATCCATTCAATCATTTGTTCTACATCATGCACTATATACTTCGAACAAACAAAATACAACTCAAATTCTTCACGGCACCCGAAATGAACCCCATATTTGTGTATATATATGTGTCCCAATGTCTCATCCCCCCTCCACTAAGTTCTCATCCATTAAGAACCACCCTCCACCACCGCAGCCGCCCGCCTCTCTTTCTGTGACACACACACACAATGGTGATGCTTATTTTGAAGTTCATTTCGCTTTTATAATCATACTGAGCTTGTTTCATATCTCCCCTTTGCTGCATGTTAAAGTACATCCTTCGTTGTACTTGAGTTTTGTCGCTTGCCTTAATCCCACCCTACCCTACTCACCTCCTACGGCTCTCTCTCTATATAGTCATCTGCATATCTATATTTCTAGTGTCTGTGTCTGTGTGTTTGAGAGTGAAATATGAGTTGCTTAGAGAGCTGGCCAGAACCAGTAGTCCGAGTTCAACATTTGTTGGACAGTGGGATAAAAGAAATCCCAGAACGCTATGTCAAAAAACCCTGTGATAGACCATCTTTGATCACCGAATCTGCCACCAGTGAAATGAATATCCCGGTGATCGACCTCCAGGACTTGTTCTCAGACGACGACTTGCTCCGCCAGACAACCGTCAGTCTGGTGGACAGCGCCTGCCGTGAGTGGGGGTTCTTCCAGGTGGTGAACCACGGCGTCCACCACCAGCTGATGGCGGCCATACGCGAGGCGTGGCGTGAATTCTTCCATCTCCCACTTGAGGAGAAACAAAAGTATGCGAATTCTCCGAGTACTTATGAGGGGTATGGGAGTCGGCTTGGGGTGGAAAAAGGTGTTCCTTTGGATTGGAGTGACTATTTTTTCCTACATTATCTTCCCATTTCTCTCAGGGATGAGAAAAAATGGCCTAAACTCCCAGTTTCATGCAGGTAAATTTTATTTATTTGGGGTTAAATCTCTAACTTGTCAAGGGATGAAATCTCAAGTAGAATAAAGATGAAAACATTGATCAACTTATAAGGGCTTCGGCGACTCATCTTAATAAAGTCGACATTTTAAAATGGAATTCCAAGTTTTAACGTGATATCAGAGTATACTAAACTCAAACGAGTAATTCGATCTGATTAAAAAAAATGAACACACGAATTTCAAGAAACCTCAAGTCTTAATACCACTAACTTGTAATATTAATCACGAAGATAAAACTAAAAACAAACCACCTCCAGCTAGAGGTGTTACCCTTTAATTTGATTACGTGGAAAAAATTATTTTAAAATTTAAGGTGTCTTAGTACAGAAGTTTGATAATCGATATGTTTGGACAGGTACAAACAGAATGGAGAATCATTTCCTTAATTATGTGAAACTCTCATGGTGTGTATTTAACTTTTGGAGCACCAAGGTGCAGCAAAAGATGTGAAATGTCATGTTTCTTTCCTGGTTCATAGGGTACATCCCTTGTGGTTTATGTTGATGACATTTTATTATAATCAACGCTAATAGTTTACATCATTGGCGCTCTAACTTAATATCAAAAATAAAATAAAAACATACGCGGAGATTAAATGTCACTAGTTTGAATCCCCTATCAACACTTCTTCGGTCGAGTCCGTCGCACCGGGCTTGCCTAGTTACACGGGACACTACAATATACAAAATTCTAGGGTTTTTTTTTTTTTTTCTTGGGGTCTAATACTCTCGTATTCAGCTTACCGAAAACGTGCTAAATTCGTTGAATTCTTGCAGGGAATTGGTTGGAAAGTACAGCAAAGAAGTGGTTGAACTTGGTGGAAAACTGATGAAAATTTTCTCAACAAATCTTGGGCTGAAGGAAAATTACCTTCAGGAAGCGTTTGGAGGAAATGAAAACATTGGTGCATGCTTAAGGGTAAATTATTACCCTAAATGCCCACAACCAGGCCTTACTTTAGGGATTTCACCACATTCTGACCCAGGTGGCATTACCCTTTTGTTCCCAGATGAAAATGTATCAGGACTACAAGTACACCATAAAAATAACTGGGTTACTGTGAAGCCACTTCCTAATGCCTTCATTGTCAACTTAGGAGATCAACTGCAGGTTCTTTCTCTAGACTCTCCTTTTTTTTTTAATCATATTTTTTTATCGATTATAAACAGTAGCCAAACATGGGCTAACGTTGTTTCTCACATTCGCAGAAGTTACTACAAGCAACATTATTCTAACGACAAAAACTTATCTTGTAAAGTTTTTCGACAACCATTTTTTCATAGACACGGCCTAAATGACTTTACCACCAAAAATGCATATACAAAGTGAAATTTTTCGTAGTATTCATGCTTGGGAACTTTTTCGGGAAATTAACAAAATTATAAAATGAAGTTGAGAAGTAAAGACAAAAACATTTAGATTGAAGCATTGATATTTCGCTCTCTTTGAGAACATTGGAGCCCTCTATGGTATTATAAAAATGTTCAAAGAACCGGTGCAATATTAGAAATATTACGAGTTGTCTCGTCAAGACATGTAACATTCTAAATCAATTTGTACTATGTAAAGGTTGAGCTCAAAACTCCAATATAAAAACGTATTTCTTTGGTCAACAATATTTTCATAACTAAGGGGAAAAAAAGACTATATTAGTATATGATGTAGTGGTGACCATGATGTATAAATTAGAAGAAATCTCACTTTTAATTACAAAAACTTTTGTCTTGAAAATTTTTCTTGTAAAAGTTTCGTTGTTGAAAATGAAACTTCTTGTACGTATATATAAATTCTGTGTTTCTACCACCTTGATCTTTTATTAATAAATATATTTGGTTGATTTTATACATATACAGGTGGTGAGCAATGCAAATTATAGAAGTGTGGAGCACAGAGTGGTAGTGAATGCAGAGAAAGAGAGGGTTTCACTTGCTTATTTTTACAATCCAAGGGGTGACATACCCATAAAACCTGCAGAGGAGCTCATCACGGAAGATAATCCCCCACTGTATCCATGCATGACTTTTAATGAGTACAGACTCTATATCAGGACAAGGGGTCCTCGTGGAAAGGCTCAAGTCGAATCCCTAAAATCCCCACACTAATATGTAATATATAATATAAATATTTATGTTGTTGTCTTTAGTTCTCATGGTTATGTATGTTTTCTATGGAATGTGTTTGTAGTATTTTGTTCTAAAGTTTGTAATCTAAATGCTGTATCTTTTGATTAATGAATCATGAAACTGGTGTTTTGATAACGTTGAATTTTCCATCAAGAATATATTAACTTGCGTATCTATCTATTTTAGACAAACGTTGTCTACTAAGATATGAGGTTCCATTTTATGTCATCTTTATTTGATATAGAATTTATTCGTGTAGCTTAATTGACTATAAAATAATCACTTTATTTAAAAATTTAAACAATTAGAGATAACCACATGTATATTATTTAAATATTGTCTTCAATACAACCCTCTCACATGTAGATGGGATTTATTTTTTCACATTAAAGTCTTTCCATGTACAATTTCATTTAAATTGTTTATAGTAAGAATTGAACTCGTAACATTTGTATAATACCGTATTAAGGCTTAACATCCCATTTTAACAATCATCCTTGTTAAAAAGAGTAACCAAATCTTTATACGTTGATTTTATCTTTATCCAACGTGAATTTACTGATATAACTTTGTTAGAGAATTTTCAATGATATGGCAAAAGCACGTGGACGGTGTGAGGTATAGGGTACTAGTGACACATTGTTCGCATAGAATCATTAAGTACTTATTTGATACAACTTTTTGAAATTATAAGTTACTGAATCTTATAAAATATATGGTTAAAAATGAAATTTAATCAACTTATAATTTTCAAAAAACTTTATCAATAAGGGCTAAATCTCTCTCTCTCTCTCTCTCTCTCTCTCTCTCTCTCTCTCTCTCTCAAGGAAACATGCTTCCATTAATTGATATTGTCCCAAGGCAATTTAAAATAAGGAAATATGATGGGTCCATAAAATGGAACCGAAAACTAAAACATTGAAAGATGCTACGGTGTGGGCTACTTTATTTTCCTATTAGGAGCGAAGTAACAAGAACTACAATTAACAACATCGCGCAACTCTAGAATATCAGAGAGAATAGGTTAGTTTGGAGCAAATCGAATGTCTTTTTGAGCCCATGAACAACATGGAGGGAGTCTATTTCCAGACTCAAGATCAATTTGGTGTTCATTTGCCACAATAACACTGTTCCTAGCAAACTGCAGTAGCTTCAGCATCCTCAATTGATGGATATCCTCTCACACGCTGGTGTTTTGCTGCTAGTAACGGTGTACGACTATTAGTAACAGTTCTATAATAAGACAGATCGTCAAGCCAAATGATCCAATAAATTGAGATTTAAACGGTCAATCGATGTATCTGTCAGACGCCAAAAAATGTATCTTCTCTTATTCTCGACTTGTAACAGGATTTAAAGTATGAAATTTTTTCCAATTTTCAATTCAATACAGAACTAATTACTCGCATACATACATGTTGGGTTTTGATATCCAATTAATCCCGAGCGATGATATAAACGTTGGATTAAATTGTTACAAGCAACCAAGTCTAAAGGTTCAACCCCAAAACAACGTGAGCCGTTGAAAGTAACCTAAATAATTAATGTTGGTCATGAACCATTTATATTACCTCTTGATGGCTTTGAATCTTGGCCCTTTAATCCTTTTTATTGGTCCAACTAAAGCCTAACATAGTCTATATATATGGTGTTTTTGCCCTAACAGTTTAGTGGGTGATGTGTAAGAAAATAATAAAGAAATCGTCAGAAAAGAAGAAAGAAACCGGCAGCCCCTTTTGATAGAGAAAACTTGTGACTTCTCTTTGATTTTTGGTGCTGTTTCTTGCCTTACTTTATTGTTTTTTCTTCTTGCCTTTATGGCTACAAATTATCACCATTATCTTGTCCTTTGTGGGTGAGATTGGGGAGCAATCGAGGTGAATATATTGGTTGTGAGTTGGAGTCTTGGAAATTGGTTATTTGATAGAGAAAGGTAACGTGAAATTGAGTTCGGAAAATACCGTTTTAACGACCCTTGGAGCAAGTTTCCGTGACAATTGGTATCAGAGCTTCAAGGTGGTGGATTGAAAAATTGTGAAAAAAAAAAACTTGTTTTTGTGATTTCAGGCAAATCCAGAGACCTGGTTGTGAAACGGAGACCATAGGCGTGACGTACAGGCGGAGATACTCCCGGGTGGTCCGTGCGTTACGTCGACGGCAACGTGTGGTGTAGAGAGTGTTGGCCGTGCTTGGAGGCACACAAGATGGAATCCGGCGACGGTTTCTTCGATAATTTGTTCTTGACATTTTTCATGACATTTGGTGTTGTCAGTTTCCTATTTCAGGTTATAGAGCGAAGTCTAGACTATTGGTCCTTCGCATGGTGGTCCAAAAGTAATAAATTTGTACCTTTCGGTATTTACGGACTCAGATTGGTCCGCTCTGGTATATTGGTTTATCCAAATTTAAATTTCAGTATTAGCACGTAATCGTATAGGGTGACATTAGGATTGAGGTACCGTGTGTGGTAACATTGCTTGTGCTAGAAATTTAGGAATTATTTGCTCTATTTGAACTGTTGATTTTGATTACAAGTTGGTAATTGCTTTTGTACTTTCACTGTTGTTTAGTCACTGTGTGAAACTGCATTTGGTGAAATTTTGAATTTTTGTTGACATACCTTCTTGTTGCATTGATTATTCTGTTAGAACACCTAGACTTGACCCGTTTGAACATTTCGTTGATCTAAGATCGAAAATCTTATGAAACCTTGAGAATCTCGAACGATATATATTATTGCCTTAAAATTACAGTGTATATTGTTGCCTTAGCAGTGTGTTGTATGTCTATTGGTGAGATGGAGTATAGATGCCTAGGGGTACATTGGTGATTTGTACCGGGGATGTGAAGTGTGACATTTGGATCACAAGTGGAGATGTGACTAAATGTTGGAATCCTTTATCAGTGAAAAGACCATGATCAGGTGGAGTGTGAAAGAGGCACTTCTATCATTTCTGTTAGGTGGAGACCCATTATCCACTTAGGTTGAAAGAAATGATGTGGTGATAGAAGATAATCCCAAGGACTTTGGATCTATAGAGATTTACCAATAAAACATGAGTTGAATGATCAGTCTAGTGATTATGATGGGCGATGAGGTGAGATATGTGTTCTTGATGTGTGAGTAATACGGAATGAGATATAATATCTGTGATGAGATCTTTTCGTAGGGTCATTTATACATTTGTTGCATATGTGTTTTGACCGTTTGTTTGATTAACTTGATGTTAATCTGTTGTTTTGTGTGAACATATTTTGAAAAATATCTGTGGATTGTCCTATGTTATATCTCTATTGCATGATTATTTGTTCTTGATTGATTATTGTGATTATCTGCTTTTACATGGGCATTTGTTTGTGACCTGTAATACATGGAACGGGTATAATATGTGTTTCGAGTCCGAAACACGAGATAAGGTCTGTAATTTCAATTTTATTCGTTGCCTTGACTATGCAAGCATTAACTTTGAGTTTTGATTGCTTGCGGATTGATTGGATATCAAGGTAGAGATTTGTTGGGTTTTGATATCCAATTAGTCCCGAACGATGATGTAAACGTTGGATTAAATTGTTACAAACAACCAAATTTAAAGGCTCCACCCGAAAATAACGTAGGCCGTTGAAGGTAACTTAAATAATTAATTTTGGTCATGGTTCATTTATATTACGTCTTGATGGCTTTGAATATTGGCTCATTTAACCCCTTTTATTGGTCCAACTAAAGTCTAGTATAGTCTATATATATGGTGTTTTTGTCCTAGCCGTTTAGTGGGTGATTTGTGTGAGAAAATAAGAAAGAAATCATCAGAAAAGAAGAAAGAAACCGGCAGCCCCTTTTGAAAGAAAAAACTTGTAACTTCTCTTTGATTTTTTATTCCCGTTTCTTGCTTTACTTTATTGTTTTTCTTCCTGTCTTTATAGTTACAAATCATCACCATTATCTTGTCATTTGTAGGTAAGATTGAGAAACAATCAAGGTGAATATATTGGTTGTGGGTTGGAGGCGTGGAGATTGATTATTTGATAGAGAAATGTAACGTGAAACTGAATCCGAAACATACCGTTTAACGACTCTTGGAGCAAGTTTCCGCGCCAATACCTCTAGGAGTTATCACATTGGATATAATACTAGTTCAATTATTTGCTTAATATATTGTCAGATAAAATCCTTGTAGACAGATCCAAAGTCAAATTTGTCCAAATTCAAATACAGTGTTTATATATAATTGAACACATTATGGACATTTGAGCCCCAATCCCCTATCAGGAGGGAATAATCACAAGGTGGCTTATTTCAATTTATGGATAATTGAATAATATTTTCCCAAAAAAATAGCTACAATTGTGCAAGCTCGTAGAAGAACAGATATGTTCGTTGGATAAAATAAAAATAATAAAAATTTTAAGTAACAAGTTTTATGGAGATAGGAAAAGATTTACAAAATAAAAATAAATATATGCAAGTAATAAATTCATACATTGGTAATCTAACCCAAAAAAAAATAATAATACATGTCTCTCTCAATGTAAGATTTTTCTTAAAATCAATATTAGGTACATTGACATGAGTGAACACGACAACTAGCAGAAAACTATTTGAAATGATCAAATCTAATCGAATAATGCAGAATTTTTGTAGAGAAAGAAAAGACATAAAGTATGTTTTATTAATTGACAAAGTAGAACAACTTTCAAGTGTTTAATTGTCTCTATTGAAACGTGAAACTTTTGACATGGTTCAATTTGGACTGTTAGATTATGTTTGTTCAAATGAAATGAAATATGACGGCTTAGATTCCATAATGCGCAAAAGTCCCTTCGATGAAGAGTACAAAAAATGCATCTAAAACACTATCTTTGAAAACACATTTGATCAAAGGTTCGCAGCCACGTACCTTCACTATTATTGCAAGCTTTAAGTATATTTACCCTTGGGTGTTTCACTATGTCACAACTGACAAGGAGTGAGATTACTTGAATAAAAAAAATGTCAATATTGCGATATTGTATATTTCCTCTCAAAGATAGGACGAACATTATGTGGAAAAGGACTAAGTGACGCAGGATTCAACCCTACGCACCTAGAGGATGATGATTAGGTGTAAAATGCGAAATTAAAACTTCAATTAACAAGCAACAAGTCACAAGTTAGTTACGTCTAAGTGATTAGCCAATCAATTCAAATTATCCTATCTTTGAATACCGCAATTTATATAATAAAAAATAAATATGAAAGCAGTAAATAAATAATACTAATATGATATCGGAGAAACCCAACTGGAAAAAATTTTGGGCGCTTTATTCTGTCAAAGATCTACTATAAATTAATAATACACTTACGACAGCCAGCAAAATTGACAATACAAGCTTTTTGATTTTTTGTCTGAAGTAAGAAGCAGGCATCCTGAAATGTGCACACAAACACCAAAAATGGCTCTTCTTTGTAAAGCAGTCCTCCTGGAATGAGTACACGAACTCCAATCCTGACTATTTACGCAATTTATCTCCTGTAGATCTTCCCAAAGAACTTCTCGTTTTTCAGATTCTCCCTTGATCTTTAATGCAGCGCAGTTGACGACACAATCTTACAGCAGACCCAAGCGAAGAATGCAATCTCTCTTTTTGATTTGGCTCTTTGATGTTTTCACAATGATTGGCACATGAACAATGGAAGGATTGAACTTTGATTCTTGTACAGCATGTATTCTCTCTGAATAATATGATGTTCAATCTCTCTTCCGTAAAAAGTGTGGCGCCTCAATATATAGGTTGTATGAGCCAAGTAGAAATCACGGAAATAGAAAATTAGGTCGGCCGAATAATATGTNTCACTCTAGCGAGCAACTAGCGCCAAATAAGCGTGAATCCTTCTTGTTCCAAACATGAAACCCCAAACCCTAAGCTAACCTACCAACTATGAAACTTACCAATTTAGTCCCTAAACTTATATAATTGTTCAAATTGGTCAATTTGTTCACAGAATTGTCAATACAAAATATAAACCTTACACTGTATTTTTGAACCATGTGACTATTTCTTCTTAAATTGAGTATAATGCAATATTTTAACTTATGTAATATATTGAACTAAACTAAATGTGTGTTTAATCGATCTTTGTTGAAGCTCGAAAGTACTTCTTGTAGGGAGAAAATACTTTTGATTGAATGTATGAATGTTTGATTAAAGTTAATAAGCACTTATTAGTCAAAAAATAATTGACGTGTCGATGAAAGAAAATATATACAACCTAAAAGAAATTTAAAATTATAGACCCTTAACATAGAAATTATTGATGATCTTATGGCATTTTGCAAGCCAAATTATTGGAAAGTTAAATTAAATTATGTAATGAAATAGACACAATAAATTAAAAACTTGCATTTTATATATTATAACAAATCATTGACTACTGTGTACACCCAACAATTTCCTAGCACTTAAATCACATGTTTTTTTGGACTTTATAAGTCGCATCCAAGCAAGTAGACAGTCCACTTTTTTTCTTGTACAATAGATTATAAAAAATTTCTTGCAAGGAAATTTAATAGATACAAGACACAAGACATGACAACTATATAGAAAGTAACGCAATACAATTATTATGCAATAAATTTACAATTTGCTTTACTGTCAATACACGTGCTGCATGAGTTATAAACCCGACTAAATATTTTATCCAACAAAATAATAATATAATTCATTATAGTTTATCATCTTATGAAAAAGGGGATTAGCTGCAGTATAGTTTTACTTGATTATAACAATTTTTGTTAAGTTGTGGTACTTAATTAATGTCAAGTCAGTACGTGGATTGACATCCCAAGAGGTGTGGGTCTCTCACCAAAATTTTGTTAAGGCTAATTTAGGAATTTCACTCTTATAATTTCGATTTAAATTTATCTCATAAATAGAATTCGTTGTTAGAGTTTTGTATAGCCATCAAAAAGAGAGAGTGGTTATAGAAAATAGGGTATGCGGTTTCTCTTGTAAACTTTTTTTATCATAGTGAATTTATATATCAACAAAGAGGACGTAATTTCATATTGAGACGAATTTCTATAAATGTTATGTGTTCTTTTATATTTTTATTATCTTACTGCAATTTTATTGTTCTTGGTGGTCTAGAATTACGATTTCTAATTCTCAACAAAAATTTTAAAATGCCGGCCAAGAAATTCCATACGCAGATATAGATTCATTCTTCGTACCTAGTTCAGCCTCTAGTATGGAGAAATTGAACTAAATCCTGTCAATAAAAACAACTCTTCTAACTCACCATTTTTAAATCTTAAGATGAAAGTAACTCAACTGATAATTAAAAAAATTATATACATTTGCTGATTAAGAATGTTGAAGATTACATATATCTCCCTTTCTAACAATTTTTGAAAACTATGGTGCTTCAATTTATATGTCCCGTTATTTATGTTATGGGATGATTAATCTCACGTCAAGTAAATAATAAAATTATAACTAACATATAAGTGGTTGAGCTAATCCTTTTAACAATGTTCACCTTTTAATATGAAATTTTAATTAAGTCTAAATACATATAGAAATGAAATATTTATATTTTAAAGATAATAAGAAAGTATTCCCTTGATTATGACAAATATAATATCTAATGCTTGTCCATTTAATTATTGGATAAGTATATGTGTTTTAAAAACATCACATTTAGTATTTTACAACAATTTATCACCAAAAAAAAAAAGGCTTTAAAATGTCGTATTGGTTTTCTACATGCACTCTTAAGTAAACCAATACGTCCATTTCCATGTCAACCAATTCTCAGTATAGGCATACAAACAAATTGGATTGAAATAACTCTCTTTCATGAGTCTATTGAAGATTACTCAACAAGTGGTTATTTCAAGTATTCAAGTTCGATTATAAATAAAGGAGGAGCCCCCCGGGGCATAGTTCAGTGGTGTAAAGGACAGGAGTGAGGTAGTCTCAGCTGAGCTGACAATCGCAGTGTGAGAGTTTGATTCCTGCCTCTTACAAGGTATGGAATTTGACTCTTTGTGGTCGCCAATATAGCAGCTCTTGTACACTTGCCTGCTGAAGCACATTTCGCGATTTACCTCCTCCACAATGCTCTAGGGACGGGACAATGGAAGATCCTCAAGGTTGGGGTTTAACCTTTTTTAAAAAAAAAAAATAAATGAGGAACTGAAGATAATGTAACCCTTGTGATTTAAGATGGTATAAATTAAGTGCTACATAAATTGTGTGAAAAGAATAGTCTTAATAAAATGTTGATTTTACCCAAAAAAAACTTTAAAAAAAAAAAAAAGGTATAAACTAGGTGGTTTAATAACGTGGCATCTGTCAGATGAATGTACTGACTAATGTGGATGTGTTCGCATAATTAAATGGATAAGATAAGAAATGAAAATATACATCAAAAAAAAAAAAAAAAAGTCGCACCAATTGAAGATAAATTAAGGGAAGATTAGATATAAATGGTTAAAGAAAAAAAATTGCATACTTAGAAGAGGTTCATATAATAAAGAAACCATAGTAGAGATGACATATCAAAACTAACAAGACGTGTTACGGTTATTAGGAATTTATTTGCTTTGAATCTTTTAGTAATTCTAGTAATAAATCAAGAGGAGTGGCAAAATTAGTTTTATTCAATTTATCCTGCTAACAACAAATTTATTGAAAAGAAGCCTTAAATTTTTGTCGTTGATGTACAAACCAAGCGTGATTTATGACAAAGATATCTCGATTATTTAAGATTGTGTAAACCACATATCATCACATCTTCATGGTACAAATCGAACATGATTTGTGCTTAGTTTTTATCACTCAAGTCTACAACATAGTATGGTCATTATTCAGAAAATACTACAATCTGACCATCACACAAATATCATCACAACAAAGCCAATTTTACGTAACATTATCTTGCTGCAACATTTGACCTAATTTAGAGGATTGTATAAAGAAGCTGGCAGCAATGGGGACTGAAAGGTTCCAACACTCCATGGAAGAAGTCCTATTTCATCATTTACTGCAAATGGATTATTATTCATTCCTTCAAGAGGAAACACGTTAAAATTTGGTAGAATTTCTTCATGGATTCTGATCTTTTTTGGTGCTCGAAATTCAACCTCGAATCCTTTTGTTTCCACTTCAGAATCAGATTCAAATTCCTTTTCATTTGATCGATCAGATTCTTCACTTAGAGAAGGCAGTGATAGTACAGAAGGATAAGGCTTGTTTGGCATACTACTGGGTGCCCGATTCTTGTATTCCTCAAATATACGGTCCATAAATCTTCCTTGTGCTTCAATTTTCATTTTCAAGCTCTTTTGAACCTATAGGAAAGAGTAGAAAATGAAAATTTTATCTTTGGAACATTTTATTAGCATCGTGATCAATACAAGTCATGAGATATTCGTGTGCTGATTCTATGATTTTTTCTTAGCATTTGAAACTCCTCAAAGAGACGAGTGAATGAATTCTGATATTGGTTTCGTAAAGCATATTTACCTCTATTTGATCGTTCCATCTTCTTTGTGCTTCCCTTTGCATTCTTAATGCTTCATTTAGCTGTACACCTCTACAACAATAACAATATAAAAATATATTACTAATAACATGGTGAAAGTACTAAAAATCTTCACATCATAAATTAGAAGCCTCACGATTTTGTGCTAAAATTTGGCAATTCTTCTGATATACTTCTTCGCTCACTCTTGTCTCCTGCACGCATGTCTCGAGATATTAAATTTTATATTTTAACGATGAGAAATTTGAGAAAACAAGAATTAAGTTTGACTCACTGTGACCACCTTCAGGAGTGAATATTGACATCCTATATTTCTGTAAAAAATACAAATTTAGTACTCACATAATGTTTAAATTATTTTTCAAGGAGACATGAATATACATATTACAAAATGAAAAACAAATTCAATTGTTTGCTTATAAAAGCGGTATGTGCGTTGAGTTTCGAACCTTGTAAGACTAGCTGGTTTTATATCGTGATGAAAAATAGTGCTATATGAAAACAATCCCATGTGGGATGTGGACATAGGCATTCATAAATCACATTTGATTGGTATTTTTTTAATAATATTTTAGTTTCTCAATAAATTTATCCTCCTTTTACTACATACAAACAAATGTTGGAATATATGAAGACTAATCATACTTTTCCTCTACCAGGAGATAGCAAGGTTGCGGTAAGCCTCACAGCTTTGTCATGAGGTAGAATGAACTTTTTTTATTGCAACGCGTAATTAATATCCTACTATAGGTTAGGGAGTCATTTTTTGCATGCGAATGAGGTATGAAGAAAAAATCTTGTACTCTTCTTCTTCAATATATGCAACAGCTAGTGAACACAACTCTCACGATGAGCCTAAATGATTCGAAAATAACAAATTAGTGCCGCATAAACTGAGGACTCATGGTGAGCGCTCTGCGAATATAGTGAATACATCTCTACTTCCGGGGCAGAGGCCTCTAATACCAGCAATATTCTAGCACTGTAATTCTGTGCTCGTTGATCATTTTTCTTATTGCTTTCCTAATTTTTGTTGCTATTAAAACTAGAGATAAGAGTAGAATCCATAACAAGTTGGATAATGCATGTGTGAGAGAGACGGAGAGAGAACCTGTAAGTGGCTTTTCACATGAAATATAGTTAATCCAGGAATTGCCATTGCTTTCAGAATTCCTTTTGGTGTTGCCCCTGGATGTCATCAAGTCCACAGAGAAATTTATTAAGCCTCATAAAACCAATGCATTCACGTTATTTTATTCATAATTTTCGATAATCTCACGTACGATCTGGTCCTCCTATCTGATTAACCGCTTTCTCGAACAATTCATGCAATTCATTCGTCCATTTTAACCGCTCCTTCAACGTGCCAGTCAACTGATTTGAGTCCATGTTGCAACCAGACGACCTTGCAAACCTGCCAGGCAAGGAATGAGGAATAGTGCTCCACTTAAAAAGACTATGTTTAGATAAAAACAACACTACAAAAAGCAATTTCCAGGAAAGATACAAGCAAGCGATTGGTTACGTAAATAGATACCATGAAATGTCTGTCTGTAATTGACGGAGCAAACCAAGAAAAAAGAGCCCAAATTTCAAGCTTATTTTCTATTGTTTACATCACCTGGTGAGAAAACCTAAAAATTACTACAGGGACATGTAACAAAATATATCGGCTATATTTGTAATTTTGCTGCTTGCACCGTATGAAAATCTATGAAAACCCCAAATATACAAGCCAAAAGAGGGAATGGAACTAGGCCTTTATCACTTATCTGCCTGAGTCTTGAGAAATTTCTCTTCATTTTAACCCAAGGAAACATGACATGCAAACGATATAATATTTAGAACATTTCAAGAAAGCAAAGGTTCGTTTATACTAGCTTTATAACATAGGAATCAAGCACGAAATTGAGGAGACAAACTTCATCCTCACTGCAATCAACTGTTACAAGAGATATCCATTACAAATAGTAGAAAGGTAATATTGCTATACTAATTTGTCAGCCATCAAATGAACACTACGTATTCCTTGGTTGATTTAGTAACAAATCACTACTGCCTGTTTCGCTTCATGCAAGATGGACATTTGTATTGCTTTATATTCTCGGCCTTAGCAGGAGTTATCTTCACACATTTCCCATGGAACCACCGTTCACAAATGTCACAGCCAATCCAGAACTCATCTGCATCATAATTTCCGCCACAGCTTCCACATAGTGTTTCACTATGCTCATCGTCCTCCTCCTCGTAGCTTTCATCTGCCAATTTGGGGGTGCTCTTCACCTGACCATCACTAGATCGCTGCAAACAAAGATGAAAGGAATTGAGCTAAATCAACTGAAGGTGTAAGAGCATCAGACATTGTGAACATGAGAAAGTTCAACAACTAAATGAAATCCTAAGTTGGGGTACAAAAAATACACTGCTTCAGCCAAACCCTTTTTGACAACTATCAGTACCTAAATCTTCTTGTGAAATGTAAATTAATTCCACAGTGCCTTCACCCAACCTTAGGTTTGCCTCAGGAACAAAAAGAACAGAATCCGAGAAAAACATATCTAAAGTGAGACACAGATATGCTTGAGCCAATCATACCTTTTTGTTGCTTCGAGATCTGCTTCCGCTATCTGCAGTTGGCTTGTCTTTTACAGGTTTCCTTTCAGTCACAACTTCAAAGACTGTGGGCAGATCATTGATCAAGCTGAACAGGCGCTTCCTGAAAGAACAGAAAGAAATGTATATATTTTTAGATAGATCCTCATGATAAATCACAGACCATAAGTGTGGTTCCCTCTCCGAAAATGCACATCCCAGAAAGAAAATCAGTAAAAATATTTAACCACAATGATGCCAGTAATTCATCTCTAATCAGAACTTAGCAGTCCTAAATGAAGGGAAAAACAAGCAAAAAACTGCACACGTGTATCAACACAAAAAAGCATAACATCAATACTTTAGAATTCTTAGGTCTTCACTGGACTCCTGGCTACACGTCATATGATATGCACCGGGGTGAGGGGGTAAAAGCATTTTATTGAAATCATTTCAATGTGTTCGACTGCAAAAAGCAAAAGATATATATGGTTGACATCAAAATCATGAACTTGAAACACTTTTGAAGCTTGTGGTCAGAGTAAGAAAGAAAATTATTGGTATATCATGGAACAAATTAGATAGAAAGCAATCCAGTGACAATATCAGACTTGCATAAATGAAGGATAATTTGAAACAGTGCCATTGCTACTATCAAGATTCTTTAAAAAGTGAAGTTGTACGCCTGCCACTAAAAGCAACCTTGTATCACATGTATGACGAAGTATAAATCAACAAAAGGCTTGCAGAACACAGTAAATCAAAGATTTTGACGAGTTTGGGATAAATATTACTTAAAGTGGATCATTTCCAAAGACTTGGCTCGCTCCATTGACACATCTAATAAAGTTCATTTACCCAGGACCAAAAAAATATCAATGTGAGGAAGAGTTTCAAATACCTTTATCTGACATAACAAATTAGCAATGCCTAAATTTTAAACTCAGCCAACTGCAGAGATATGTCGATCAATCCAGATCTATTTTCCCTTCATCATAATAACAATGCCCAGTCATGTTCCAATAGAATGAGAAATAGTAAGATGAGAGAAAAGTAAGAATGTGTAATTTTTGAGCTTTGTTTGAGAAATAACAATGAGGTTTTCTCTTTGACATTATCAATTTAAGTAGACAAGTCTTCAGCACTTCATATATCACCAGTGTTCATGATAGTACTCAAACCATGACCTAAGTTTCTGCGCATGACATTCCAAATTAGTTTCTTCATTTTGTTACAACCCAAATTGGTTTCATTTATTATGTTATAACCATGTCATAGACTCCTTAAAATCATTTTTATCTTTTTGTCCATAAGAACAAGCAATATATGCAGTATCATAGAGATCCCTTGAAATGTTCATATTTATGCGACCAAAACTATTTTAAGCAGTCATAGAACAAAGAATATCTATTCATCCCCTCTTAGCATCACCACCTCCTATGTTATCAACTTTTGAATGATAATAGGAAAAAAACACTCTCTGTGTGAGCTTTCAAATATATAAGGACTGTTAAAAAATTTTGAGGTTAGTCAACCACATCCCCACCGTCAACTGGTATGCAGATAATTCACTTATCTGCATTGTTACTTAACGTGTTGAAAAGAAATTAAAACAGGAAGGAGAAAAAAAAAGGATAATTATGCGCTTTCTTATCCTTCTGTAGAATATCTCATAATCTGGCAATATTTATGTGCCTTCAAAGTATACCAATATAACCCCACAAGCCACAAAAACTGGAGAATTCTACTTTATTGATTATTCTGACTTCCACAACCACAGGTAACACAGATTATACTATGATATGATTATTTCACAATCATGGTCCTGGATATCTGGATATTCATAGATCGCTTACATTTTGTTGCAGAATTCAGCTTCAAATAATATGCCGTCACAAACATCATGCAGCATAAAAGAACCATATGTATTAAGAAGTAAAAGGAAAACATATGATATCAACTAAGGAAACTTGATTGCAAGTAATTAATGATAGAAGTCACACCTTATATTAGTATCATCACGCACTAATAGGCAGAAGCAAAGAAGCACGAATTTGGATACTAATTCGAATACAGATACAGCTTTTTAACAAAACTTAGAATAGGCGGGATACAAAACATTCTATCTAATACTTAATCCCAACTTCATCTCTTTAACATCAACACCATCAATTTCTTCATTATAATAAAAAATAACACTCTCCAACTCTGGCTTATCTATTGATATATTAATAACCACAAGCAGTCAATGCCTTCAAGAGTATCGAATAAGTTTCTAGCAATGTCCCACATTTTGAATTCTACTTTTTAATAAAGATTTAATTTTTTTGATAAAAGACGCGAATTGCTATGAATTAATCAATTCTTCAGCTCATTGTGGAGTTACTTTATTTCTAATCATAGAGTGTACAAAAGAGTAGGTTCTCCACTGTTCTTAGTTAATTAATAAATATTTTTTTATCCTCAATAAGTTATTAATAATAATAATAATAATAATAATAATGGTTATCTATGAAGTAAAAATAACTGTCATCAATTACCAATAATATAATAAGTTTTGAAAGAGTTTAAAACCAATAAAACTCTTCTTCTTCACGTGTTCTAAGGTGTTTGATACGTATAGAAAATATAAAAAATATAAAATAATTAAAAAACACGTCTCAGATACGTATTGAAGAGCGTCCATGCATATCCAAGCTTGGATCATATCGAATACAGGTACACAATAAGTTTATAAGAATCCGTTATTCTTGGGAAACAAGTAACAATACAGTTATCCAGGGTGAACCTGGAGCAAATTGCAATGAACCACTTAATAAACAAGCAACCCAGATGTGTGGTTTGATTCAGGCTCCAAAATCTCACAAACAATTTTCCAATTAGGTAACATTTCCACAATTACAGAATTAGGTGTATGCAGACAAAAGGCCACAAGAAAATCTAAATTAAAGACAGAAAAGTTCTGTACTTTAGCAAATTTTTTAATATTGATCAGTAGAGTTGAGAAATAATAAATAATATCAATATGTGAATTTCAATACAAGATGTACTTCAATATTATGTAAATCAGATTTACTGTTTAAAAATTCAGAAACTTTGGAACTTAATTAATATGCTATTGTATCTTTATACTGACCTATTTGATGAACAAAGAAAATTAAACTAAAGAAAAACATCCGTGGTTCTCTCAGTAGTCAGTTCAATTCTGTTTCTAAATGTGTGGAACCTAATCAGCCTTGAAAACAACTCAAAGTCAAAGTTTCTCAAAAAATTTATAGTTCAAAAACAATCTGAGAATGCATGACCAAGAAAGCTAATCCCNCCAAGATAGAAAGCCACAGAGAGCAACCAACAATCACTGTGCACAGCAATTAGTGAAAGCCAATCGCTACGGGTCATTCCATCCCTAGCAAAATTGATCCCAAGTGCTGGCTCTGGAAGCTCAGGCGGAACTTCTTCAGCTGGTAGACTTACTTCCCAAGTTTCGTTTGAGTGTCCATAAAGACACAAGTTATCCTTTTCTACAAAATTGGTAAGCCCAAAAGCAAAAAATGAATATCTAAATAAACTGAAAACCAAAAATATGAACAGATGAAGGAAAATGAACCCAGTGAAGGACTATATGCTGAAAAGAGTTCTTAAAAACGAAACAGACAGAGCTTCATTTTGACTACTTTGTATAGCACAAGAAGACCAACCAACAGTTGGACTTAATATTCGTATTCTAATGCCCAATAAACTAACATAATTAAATTGGACTTAATAATATTCGTATTCCAATGCCCAATAAACTAACATAATTAAATTTAGCATAAAAAATGAAAAACAGAAAACTTGTGTCCTCAAGTAAAGAGTAAAAAATAATAGTTACAATGGCCTGTTTTAGGTAAAACCATTTCCTCAGTAAATAATCCCAGCAGAAAATACTTGGTCCATTGAAAACAGATCACTGATCAGTACAGAACATTTAAAATATAAATATATTATACAAAAATATTTCTTTGCAATACTTTTACTGTAAAATTATATATTCGAGGGCATAAGAAAAGCATAAAATTTGCTCAGAAAAGGAGGAGCATCAACAATAGCCATGTTCCAAAAGGAAGCAAGATTAAAGCTACAAGATTTCCATAACTAATTTTCAATATTAACAAAAAGCAGCTAATTTAACCTTCAAACTAACCAAAATCCATGATTAAACAAAAAACCCCAAATTCGCAATTTTCACTCTCTTTAACAATCATAGTCGAACTCAAATGGTCAAATTTGATGTACATGAAACAATAAATTCACATATATAAAAATGAAAAAAAAAATTATGAAGTAAAGAATAAAAATTAAATACCTGGATCACAGAGGCCGTAAAATTCATCCACGTCTGTAAAACCCAAAAAAGAAAACAACATCATTCCATACTGAATTAAATATTTACAAAAAATTAATTTTCCGTGTTTTGTAAGTATGCATCGAATATACAAAGTACCGTCAGTTAAAGCGCGAACGATTCCGCCACGACGAGAGCTGTAATCTTTGAAGATCTCCTCTACAGTTCGAGGGCTTGAAGAAACTGAAGCCATTTCAGTATATAAACTATGGGATCTAAAATCTATTCAGTAATTATTAACAGATTAACCCATAGATTGAAACAATTGTATGAATTGGAAATGAAGAGAGAAAGAGGGTGAAGTATTGAGGGTTGAGAGTGACTCAAAAACAGGGAGAAAATTGCAGTGGACATTCTCAAGTTGTGGTATAGCAAGTTAGGTGTTCAATTGTTTTCACTTTGATAGATTAATNATAGAGAATATGTGATTGAAAAAGAAGGAAAAGTTATTGATGTGATGAAAAATATTATTTTATTGAAGAATGTGTGGTTGAAAATGAGTAGAAGAATGAGAATGAAAAAAAATAATGTGGACGAAACAGGGCCTAAATAAAATAGGAAATATTTTGTTCTCTTGAATCGAGAAGTTTGACTTAAAAAAATGAATATTATATATTAAGTTGAATCTCACCTTTGGCACCTTATTATGACATATGAGTAATGCAGGTTAGTTCCATTTGTGCTAAGCACTCGTCTAACTGTTTATTAAGTGTTGTCAAACAATTGTCGTCTTAAATAGAGAGAGAGGAATTATATTTAAAGCGTTCAATCAATTAATTGACAATTATATTGGTGCTAAAATACCTGTAAAGTTGAATAATACTATTGTTGAACTGGACTTGACTACTAATTCTTTCGAGGCAACTCGATAAATTCAATAAAATGTTAGTATTAGAAGCCTTAAATATAATTTTAGGCTCAAAAATGTTGTTGAATAAATGGGTCACAAAAGATTATTTAAAGTATGGGTGAGGTCTGATTTGGTTTGTTCTCTAATGAACTGGACCAAATCGTCTTTCGTCTATATTGGAAAACCTAAAAAATAATTTTTAATTTAATTTTCAAAGTCAAACTTTAATTTTAATCACATATATCATAGACCTGGAAACTAGCATTCACTTATTCGTCACACTTTTTTATCACAATATAATTGTAATAACTTCACGACCCATATTTTAAGTGGAAATGTAAGTTGTTTAATATCTACAGCAATGACAAATATTCTTCACAAACTTTCTAGGTAATTATAAACGTATTTTAGGAAAAATCTATAAATAAAAATAATAATAATAATTTTGCATAAAAATGAAAATGAAAAAATTATGTGAATGATATAGTGGTGATAGACGAATGGGAAAAAAAAAATTAATTTTTCAAATGAAACTCAAATAGTAATTGAATTTTTGTTATAAAAAAAATACAGTTAAAATTTTGGTATGTAAATTTGGTTTGTTTAACTATTTTTAATGACAGCTTTTATGAAATTATTAGCAAAAGTTATTTTTTTTTATTATCATACTGTAAAATGTGGAATGTAAAGTGGTAATATACCCTATACAAAGGGTATATTTTGTAATTTTTACGATTATGCTTCATAACCTTTTATAGTAAAATTTTGAATTTTTAACCTTCAACAGTGAATTTCATGTGACTTCCATATGTCTTAAAAATTTGAAGGACAAAACTATCAAACCACTTAATATACAATTTTTAATGTCCACGTCAATATATTTGAATCACTCTTAGTATTCATACACACCAGAAAAAAAAAATGAAAAAAAAAAACCCAATTTCCATATAAATCTCCTTCATTTAGGCCATGTTTGATGTGTAGAATTTTTCATGGAAGTTGGAAATAATTTTCCATTTTCCACATTTTTGACTGTTTGATAGCCAAAATTTACTAGGCAATTCATTTTCCAACTTCACCTCACGTGACACCATTTTCCACATTTTCCTTGAATTTGCTTTCCTATGTTTTTTTTTTTTTTAATTGTGCAATGGAAACAAATTATATCCACAATTGTAAAAAAAAATAAAAAATTTCCCTTTAATGGACAATTTCCATGTAAAACAAAGCCAAACGAACACTAAAAAATCCAAAATTTCAATATTTTCCACGTGAAGAATTATACTAAATAAACACAATTAATTGATCCAAGAAAACATTTCTAAACAATTCAATTCCCCGAAATTCATTTTCTTTGTACTCAAATTCCACTCTTACAATCAAACAGACCCTTAGTTATTGCAATTATTTTCTTAATAGGTTTTGTCAAGTAGTCCTTCTCTTGGTGTCCTTTGGGGTAAAAGTTTTATCTCAAAGATGGTTAGATTGATTTTTTCGATCAAAAGTACCGTGAGTCCCACATAAGGACCTAAATTCACATATTTTAAATAAGTTGAAAGAACTATAACCAAACTACCTGAAAGGTGAGGGACCTTACTTTTAAATATTGATTCCAATACACGATTTTGTGCTTACAGGAAAAATTCCAAACTAGTAGTATTGAAGATAAGGAAGCTGAGAGGGAGAAACAAAGAGATGGCATTTCAACTGAACTTGCTTCAGACATCAACCTTAAACCATGCTAAACAACCTCAGCCATTTTCTTCCATTACTGTCCCTACTCGTTTATCGTCTTCAAGAGTGAATGCAATTTCTGGGAGATCAACCCAAGAGTTGTTACAATCCGGTACAGTCCGCCCCATATTACCAAAAGATGCAGCCTCAGCCATGGAGTCTGAGGGCTACATATTGCTTGACATTAGACCCCAGTGGGAGAGTGAGAAGGCACGTGTTTCAGGGTCTCTCCACGTGCCACTTTTCGTAGAGGATAAGGATAATAGTCCTTTAACATTGTTGAAGAAATGGGTGCATTTTGGGTACATTGGAGCATGGACTGGGCAGTACTTTACTATGATAAATGATGATTTTGTTAAAGAAGTGGAGAAAGAGGTTCCTGATAAGGAGTCTAAGCTACTTGTAGCATGTGGTGAAGGACTCAGGTAATTATTAGCTCTTCCAAGCTCTCGTGCAGCCCTTAGCTCCTCAATCTCCCTATCCCATCTCGAGAAATTGTGAAAATAGTAAACAAACATTTATCATTCATTGTTGGTTGTTTTGATATATAGTAATGAGCTTAGATGCAAGATTAGAGAGATAAGTGTCCATTATTTATCGATCATTGGAGAGTGAAGAGTTATCGAGCACCCTTAGCACGCTTTCATTGTTCATCGGCAATTATATTTAATCATCGTGATTGAGATCAGACAATCTAAATTGGTTCATATGCAACTCTTCTGTAATGCATCTTGGATTTTCACGATTCAAGAAAAGCTAAAAGTTACTATTAAGCACAGCCCAACATGTTGTACTCATTGCTTGAAATATGAGCTTTTACAATCTTACCATCTGCTAAATTAGTTAATTTTGTGGTTTTATGTGTGCAGATCTATGATGGCTTTCACTAAATTACACCAAGGAGGATACAAGAACCTGGGATGGTTGGCTGGTGGCTTTAATCGGGCTTCTGATAGTGATTTTCCGGACATTGAAGGGACTGAAAAGTTGCAATATGCTACAATAGGAGGTGCGTCATACTACTTCCTTCAGTTGCTTATTTTGTTACAAGTTGTTGGGAAGAATAATTGATCGCTCTGTTGAGACAATCCGGTTATGGGTGAACTCTTGGCTAATACGAATAGCTGAATTTACGAAGATCAGTTGGATTGTTTACATGTATTGTTATCACCGTGTAAAAATTCCGTTTGAAATAAGATTGTTTGTTCCTTAGTAATTCAGTGTCTCAATTTTCAACTATGAATGACAAAAAAGGATTCATGTAGCAGACACTGAATTTATTGCGAATAAGGCATAGTTTGTTCTCTTGACATTGTTGTATGCAATTGTTTGACAGAAGAAATTTGAAGGTCCCAAGTAGGAAGTAGTCCCTTAAGATTTGTTTGGTAAGGTAAATTAATGTTCGATATATAGTATTGTTCTGTCTTATCGAATACTGATCATACACATAGACATCACACTCTTGAACCACTTTTTACACAAGTATGAATACAAACATCGACCATAAACCATAGGACTAAATGTAAAACTTTATATGAAGTCGAAGCGCATGAGTAATTTGACAGATTTGTACTTGTCTCCCTTGTGACTGGAGAGAGGTACAGCTCGAATTCCCGTTTTCAATTCTGACAAAGGAATACAAGTTTGTCCTCCAAAATCATCCTTATCTGACATATCAAATTCATGAACTTCAACTCGAAGTAATGCCAACTCTGGGACTGTCAATGGGAACTCGAACTCTTCGTTCCATGCTGGGAACCAGTTGTCCTCGATGACCTTTGTTTTCTTAGCTACTGTATCAGCAAGGACTCCAGCAATCCCAACCTGCATATTTGGATTATCATCCACATCATAGTACGGCATAGATTTATGTATTTTTAATCTTCCAAGTTTGATACGTTAGCTCTCACATTGATGATAACATATATTTCCATGTATGGATACATACTATTTTTTTCGTTTTGTTCATTATTGCTCTGGGGGATTGGAATGGGGCGTAATCCTTAGATTCCACTATAGGTAAAATTCGTGTCGTGAGATGTTTACATCTACCGTGATGGTTAAAACTACTCGTATATTTCACACACTTAAAGAGTGTTGACGAGAGAGCGCGATAGACTACCTTGACGTAGAAGTCTGGTGGGGAATATAGATCAAAGTGTGTGTGTTTAAAATCCAAATTCCAACCTTCTCCCATGTACACCTTCACCTGAACACAGAACCACATAAATGAATGTGAAAGATTTGTAGCAAAAGAAGCTGAAAATGTCGAAAAAAAAAAAGATGAAATTTTTGAGTTATCAATTACCTTCAAGATTTTCTTCACAGGTAAATGCTTTTTAGGGTCGAATACCTCGTCATGCGGGCCAGCCTTAAGTAACAAATCTGGTTTTTTCACGTAACCACACCCACCATTTGCTCTGAACATCCCTTGCATCAACCACAGAGACCTGCCATGTCCCTGGCATAGACACGCTCTGGTAAGATGCAATTTTTTAAGGAAAATCATGGTTCCAGACAAAATTTGAGAGATTTTTGAGATTAGTACTAAAACTATGTTAATGTATGTAATAATAAGAAAAAGGAACCTGCATATTAAACGCGACCATTTGAGCTCCGTACATCCACCCGATTAGGGGGTTGAAATTTGATGAATCAATCCTTGAAGCTTTTGGATATACTCTCATCAAGTTTCTCTGTGTGAATCTTTAACAAATTGATGGCATGAATATGAGGTAAAATTCTTGATGTATAAGGGATGTACTTGTCAAACAACTTAAAAGGTTACTCGAATAGAAATATTGGTCGTGTGATTGTAAAACTATATGATGTAATTATACAACCGAACAAACAATTATGTACTATGTACTGAAACGAGGATAATAAGGTACTAGTTAACTGAGATTCAAAGAAAAGTTCATATTCACCTGACAATATCTGTTCCATGAGTTTTGACAGCATTTTCGAGCTTTTCTTCATTTAAGCTAACGCGATGCGCCTTTTGAGAATCAACTCTCAGCCATGCTTTAATTCCTCCTTTCATTTTCTCTGCTCGGATTGCAATTAATTGCTTATATTCAGGTGCTGCATTTTGCTGTAAATTATGATTATCATCCTGTTGATCTTCCTCATCTTGATACTCTCCATGCTCCAAGTCATTCTGCCATCATTTTTAACTTAGATATTACAAAATAGTAAAGAGATTCTCGAAGAAAAGGGGGAGAAAAAGAAATGAAGAGAAAATTTGATGATAGTTATTGTTTTGTGAGTCTAGGTTTTTGCTGGAGAGTCTCGGCTTTCGTTCATGAAAAGTGTAAGCCTTGGCTTTCGGTCGAGAGGTTATTTTGTGTATTCTACTAGTTCCTTATAAATTTGGGTATCGTCCTTGATGTAGAACAGATGATTGAATGGATTGAAAAATAATTAGACCGAAAAGGAAAAAAAGCAATACTGCAGGTGTAGTAGTCGAGCTCCAATTTGAGGTCATAATACCATTTTGGAAAGAGAACGATGAGACAAGTAGAACTCACGTTTATGGATTTAGGCAGTTCGAATTCGTTTAGGACTCGAAAACTGCTTTTAAAGTTTTAATGCTATTTCTGTCATTTAATTTATTTAGAATTCTTTTCAATTTTAGTTTGTTCAAACTAGGTTTTCATGTAAACCCTTATAAATAAATGGCTAATTCATTATTTTTTATTATCCTACATGAATAAAATTTCGTGAGTTTTTTTTTTTTTTTTATTTGGTGGATTCCAAAATTGTGTTCTTAATGCTTTTGCTTGAATTCCTTATTTTTGGGCTGCAGTGGTATCAGAGTTAGCTTTTCCATCTCAATATCTTTGATTCACAATCATGGATGACGTACCAATTACTAATGTAGACTTCGATGCTCAAAATCGACAAATGGATGATCTCACTACTCAGATCGAAGAGATTCGTCAACTATTGTTGTGAGGTGTTGAAAACAATAGGCAGAATGAACAATAGAAAACCAACAATGAACGGATCACTAAGCATATAGTTCGGAGATGAGGAGTTTGAAGCGCTGCCGCATAATCATGAAAAACAAAATACCTTGATGATTATAGGATCAAAGCATACATTCTCCCATTCTTTGGTAACATGAAGATCGAAGACTTTTTGGATTGGTTGGCGGAGTTAGAACAATTTTTCGAAATTATGAATTTGTCGGAGGACAAGATGATTAAAATGGTGGCGTTCTATTTGAAATGGGCAGCGGCAGTATGACGGAATCAATTACAGAATACTCGGAAGAGATAAGGAAAGAGTTGAATTCAAACTTGGAGAAAGAAGAAGCAGTGTTCAATGGGTCGGTTTCTACCTACAGATTACGAACAGATTTTGTATCGTATGTACCTGGAATGCATGCAAGGCAGTTTCACGATATCAGACTATACCAATGAATTTATGTGGTTGGCAAAGCAGAACAATCTATCAAAATCCGAAAATCAGAGGGTATCCAGTATACCAGTGGTTTGAAGGTTAGGTACATATTCAAGATAGAACTGGGTTGTAGAATATTTGAACGTTAAGAAAGAGCCATTAACATGGCAACGAAGGCTGAAATGATAGAATCTGATAAGAGGGAGACCACCTTTAGGAGAGTTTCCCTACCTACCGAACAATCATTGCCTGTTCCTTTGCACATAGGAAAGACCCCATTACAAACCCCAGCCAACTTTAACAAGAACAATGTTGACAACAGTGTTCGGTTTGGAAATAGAGATCAAACCCGGGCACACCCCAGAATGCAAATCCATATGCTAGGCCCACAAGAGATATTTGTTATAGATGCCACAAACCTGGGCATTGTTCCATGACTACCCGGAAAGAAAGAAGGTCAATTTGGTAGAGCCGAGACAATGGATTGGGAAGAAAATAATGCGGCGAAAGATGAGTACACAAGAGTTGAGTTTGCTATGGAAGAAGGTGTGGAAGGCTCACTTTGATATTGCTGCGGATCCTTTTGTTACCTAAGGATGAGGGGCAATGTCACTTCATATTCTGTTCGCTTTGTTCTATAAAAAATAAAGTGTGCAAAGTTATTGTGGACAACGAAAGTTGTGACAAGTTTGTATCAAAGAGTTTGGTGAATTTGTTGAAATTCACAACTGAGAACCATCCTAATCCTTATTCCTTTAGTTAGGTAAAGAAAGGTCCTTCCGTTCGGGTCGCTAAGACTTGCAAGTACCTGTTTCCAATGTTAAGCATTATAAGGATGAAATTGTGTATGATGTCATAGATATGGATGCTTGCCATATTCTATTGGGTTGTCCATGGCAGTTTGATGTATATTCAACTCTCGAATGGTGTGATAATTTGGTATTATTTACATGGGGTATTATTTACTTGGGGCAGTCATAAGATCGCTATGATTCCTCTCAAATAGAAGGAGAATTCTACCCTACAACAAACTAAGAGTTTCCTAACCCTTACAAGTAATGAGAAGAATATTGCAAATTCTGTAAGGCAATCTGATTGCTTTTATCCAGTATTGATTAAAGGGCTTTTTACAGCAAATAAAGAAAATAGGGTTGTTTCATCTGAAGTGTAAGAAATTTGGGCAGAATTTGAAGATTTGGTTTCCGATGAATTGCCGAATAAGTTACCCCCTATGAGAAATATTCAACACCAGATTATTTGGTACTTGAGGCTAGTCTTCCAAATTTACATCATTGCCGAATGAATCCGAAGGAAAATGAAATTCTAACGGAGCAAATTGAGGAGCTTTTGAGGAAATGATTCATAAGGGAGAGTATGACTTCGTGTGTAGTATCTATGCTAAAGAAATATGGAAAGTAGCATATTTGTGTTGACAGTCGGGCCATCAACAATATCACAATGAAGTGCAGGATTTCCATTCCACGGTTGGAGAACATATTGATGTGTATAAGGGTTCTAAGGTCTTTTCGAAAATAGACCTTTGCAGTTGCTATCACCAGATCCGCATCAAGCCTGTGGATGAATGGAAGACTGTATTGAAGAGTAAGGATGGATTTTATGAATGGTTGGTGATGCCATTCGAACTTTCAAACACCGTGAGTACCATCAAGAGATTGATGAACCAGGTTCTTCCCCCTTTCATTGGGTCTTTTGTCGTAGTTTAATTAGATGACATATTCATTTATAGTAAGTCCGAAGAAGATCACTTGGTTCAATTGAGGTAAGTCCTAAATGCTCTAAAGGATAATCAGTTGCACATTAACCTGAAGAAGTGCACTTTCTGCACACCTAAACTATTGTTCATAGGCTTTGTGGTTGGTGAAGATGGTCTACAGATAGATGAAGAGAAGACAAAAGAAACTCTTGGGGTACCACTCACAGAATGTTTGAAGAAGGAAAGATTCAGTTGGGGAGAGGAGCAAGATAAGAGCTTCGTCTTCATTGAGGAAAAGTTGTGCACAGCTTCAATATTAGCTTTGCAAAGCTTTGAGAAGATCTTTGAAGTAGAATATGATGCTATGGTGTGGGGTTGGGGTTGTCATTTCCAAAGAAAAGAGACACGTGGTTTTCTTTTCAGAAAAGTTGAGTAGTGCTGGCAAAAGTGGAGTATTTATGAGCAAAAGTTCTATGCAGTAGTGAGAGCTTTGAAGTAATGGGAACACTACCTCATACTAAATGAGTTTGTGTTGTTTACTGATCTCCAGCCCTGAAGTTCATTAATAGTCAGAAACATATCAGCATAATACATGCTCAGTGGGTGAATTTCTTCCAAAAAATTCCTTTTGTGAATAAATATAAATCTAGATGTACGAATAGAGTTGCAGATGCCTAGTCTGAGAGCCTTTTTCCTGGTCACGCTGTCATAAGAAATTTTTGGGTTTGAGTGCTTGGAGGAATTGTAAGGAGATGATTCTAAATTTAAAGAGATTTGGAGCAAGTGTGTGAATCGTGAATCAGTGGTGGATTTTTATATTTGTAACGGATATTTTTATAAGAGCTTTGACGTAGGCATATTTAAAGTCGACTATGAATCCTTTCTGGCCACTCCGTCAATCCATTAACTTTATGTTATGTTATGATGTATGAAAATAAACATTTCCTAAAGAAAATTTTGTGCAGAACTATTTTTACAAGTGAAAATTACCTCAACATTGATTTTCAATCTATCAATATGATCAGAAACTTCCTTTCCCCATGTTGCCTCCTCAGATGATTTCTTCACTTTCGAAATGCTATTTTCTTCGTCTTTTCCGTTCTTCGTTTCAAGATACTCTTTTGGTGGCTTTGTCGAGAGGACAACCCGTCTCTTCAATGATTCCGGTGATGGGAACTCTGACAAGCATTCTGGTGTAGTCGAGACGAGTACATCCCCAAACGTTTGAGTGACCATCTACAACCCAAAATATATAAACATCGTCATATAAGTATCAAACTTTTTGAAGAACGAAATTTTTAGGAAATGTGAACTTACCTCTGCTACTTTAGCTTGAAGATCTGGAGTAAGATGATCTTCAAGTGTTATAATTAAGGGATATTCAGATGCTACAAAAGCATAGTCTCTAATTGATCTCAAACATTTGATGAGTGCAACTGGATTTGTCAAGGTCCTGTCTATGAAGAGCTATTTAGTAAAATGTATTCTAATAAAAATTCAAAATAATTTTTAAAAAAAACACTTTGTAATTAACCCTATACAAGAGAACGTATAAGTATATTTATTGATGCCATAGTTGTGTATCCAAATTCTTTGTGCTAGCAGTGATTGTTGAACTATCATAACGTTATAAAAATTTAAGTCTTTACATACGAGTAATTTTTTTTTATCGCAATCCTCGAACTTTCACAAATAAGCACATAGGTGGTTACCAATCAACTTTTTCCAGGCCTTGTAAGTTTTCAATCGTTTTCAATACTCAATCAGTGCACGTCGTACCGAGCAGGTGGAAACTTTCAATTTTTCGCTAATCAATCACACACTTTGCACATGATGGCCTTTAGGCCTTGGAGTCTTTTCTTTTCCATTTATGCCCTTGTTTGACCATCATTGTTTTCAACAAATATATTTTGAATAATGATTTTTAGGAAAATGTGTGGTTCAAAATTAGGGAAAAGTTTTGGGTTTACATATATAATATTTTATTGTGTAAATGTATGGTTAATTTGAAAAGGCGAGTTTTGAAATAATAATTGTCAAACAGGATGCTATATTGTTTTTTAGGGAGGGGTAATTAGCACATAACGTCCCCACCTTTCATTGTTATTGTGGAAAACGTCACCACCTTTCATTTTTTAGCATTCACCTTTATTTCCACATTCATTGCGCAAAAAATCATTTTTACCTATTTTCTCAATTAAAAATTATTAAATGACGAATATACCCCTCTTTAAATAAAACAAAAAGAAAAAGAAAAAAAATTAATTACAATCATAGTCCCAATTTTTTTTTAAAGCGCAAATAAGTCACAAATAAATTATTAAAAAGGTAATTAGTACATAATGTCCATATCTTTCACCGTTATTGCCAAAAACGTCCACACCTTTTATTTTTTATTTTTTGATATTTTCACTTTTAATTACACATTTGATTGTGCAAACCATTCTTTCCATCAATTTCCTTCCAATTTTTCAATAAAGAACTGAGAAATAATAAATATACCCTCCTATTTAAATTAAAATATATCTGTGAAGGTGAGGACAATATGTACTAATTACCCTTTAGGGAAGTATAGTGGATTGGATGAAAATAAACCAAAAACAAGTTATTGACACAAAAATTGATGGTTACTATAAAATTGACGGAAAAAATGAGACAGGTTGACATTGACGGAAAAATTGACAGATACCATACAATTGGGGCCAACGTGCACCGAAAATTGGAAGTTCGAGGACCTATAATCAAAAAAAATGACTGGGGATCCATGCGGTTTATCTATGAAAGTTTGAAAATTGTGGTTGCTAAATTTCCCATTATATTTTAGAGTAGTGCTTAATGTACAATGATTTTGACATCATTGTTGACAACATGCCACATGACATGTTATCATTTGGCAGTTTAAAAAACAACTCATTATTTCAACCAATATTTTTTTGCCACAACCAACATTGTCAACAATGTTGTACAAATAGCATAATTCTATATTTTATCTTCAACACGAAATCCTCGTTCAAGTTGAATTCATCTTTTTGTTATTTTTTCATTAAATGATTAATTATACATACATAATTTCCGATAATTTTAATATTTTTTGGTATAATGTCAAATTATTTGATATAGATGTTAAAACACATATGCACCACAAACTTTTAAAGTAAACAATAATTAGAAGAAGCTAAATTTTCCATACCCTCCATGAAGAATATCAACATCATCTTTGTTGGAGTTGGGCCACATATCCAATTCAATGACTCTTACACCTCTTTGTAAGGCTTCTATGATAGGCAAATCACTGCAGTCGCTGCTTATCTGATTTCCAGTTAGGTAAGAGTTGTGCCCGGTGTAAATGAAATAATGGGACAAAGGAGCCGTCATGTCTTGGTGGACCTGGGATGTCACAAAAATGAATTCATTCTTATGAGTGCAACAATCGAGCTACACAAATAGATTCAATGATAATAGGAGGACATGTTTGAAAAAACAACGCAAGCCCTGTCCCTATTTGCAACTTTGACTAGCATTATTCATGAGTGCAATTGGCATCCAACGGAAACGTACTAGATTCTCATAAAATAGCTAAAGGTTACTCTTTAACCCGAGGTACAAAGCAAGTGGACCTGGCCTGACCTGACCTTTTGAATGGTCGGGCTTCTTTTTACGAAAAAACAAAACAGCAGCCCCTACACAGACGAGCAGGTCCTTGTGTAAAGATGGGGTCGGACCGAGACTAGCTCTCAGCATATTGAGTCGTCCGACGCCCATGCTGCTCAGTCCAGGTCCAAGTTCAAACCTCTACTTACACTTCAACATTGAAATCGCTAATGTTTCACTTGATAAAAAGCTAAGATTTCATCTCTAGCCTTGTTCTTAGGCAAATAATAATATTAAAGAGAATGACAGAGTAGAACTGATTATTTTGGCTTCTTTTTCATGTACAAATCTGTCTATTTTTATCTACCATTTCTAGAATTCTCGTCTATATAACTACGTAGTGAATGTTTCTTTCCCAAGAATTTCGGTTGAAAACCGACACAAAAACCCTAGCCTTGTAGATGTTTTCATGCTATATCTGTAGATTTACTAGCAGTAGATATGGATATGAAATACCTTAGGAGGAGATGGGAGAGGAAAATTAAGATCACTCAACAGATACTGAAAAAATTCTTCGAGATGCAGATTTTTGCGGTGAAAAATGTTAAGATGTTTGTGGAGATTAAGGAAAGACTCCAGTGCATTCTGGGATTCTTCGAGGGTGAGTTTTTCTTCACCTTGAACCTCTTGTAAGAACTGGTGCAAATGCTCAACTGTCATTACACCATTTTCAGAGTATTTTTCGAATAAAGCTTTGATTTCAGCAGGAATTTCAGCTTCTTTCTGTCTGAATCCCCTACTGAAACACCAACACACTCTGTATGTTTGTTTCGACATGTCTGTGTAGTTTTCCACAAGAGAGACAGATTTGTGTGTGTATATATAGATCTAGAGAGAGAGAGAGAGAGATTTGTGTGTGTGTGTATATAGATCTAGAGAGAGAGAGAGAGAGAGTCTTGTGTGTGCATAGAAAGAGATTTGTGTGTGTGTGTATATAGATCTAGAGAGAGAGAGAGTCTTGTGTGTGCATAGAAAGAGATACTTTGTTGCCAGTGATGAGTTGTGGGATATTTGACTTGGAAGAGAGAGTACTGTCGCGTTTCATTTGATGTTAATTGCGAAAATTAGTTACATGCTCTTCTATTATCCTCTTGCTGCTAACTTTCTATAAACCAAAATGTTACACGAGCTTGACTGCAAGATCTACCAATTGAGTAGGAATAAAAGTCGACTTTAGCGATGAACGGTACAGAGTAAAAGTGTGGTCGCTTATTGGATAAAATTTAGAGTGTGTTTGTAACACATTCTTTTGAAAAAATGTATTATTAAATAGTAGATTGATGTAGAATATGTGATTAAAAATGAAGGAAAAGTTATTGATGTGATGGAAAATATTATTTTATTAAAGAATGTGTGGTTGAAAATGAGTAGAAGAATGAGAATGAAAAAAATAATGTGTACCAAACAGGACCTTACTTTAGGGATAGTAGGTTGATCTTTACCAAGACTTCACATCGAGGGAAGGTTTGGCATCTCGATTTGGCTCTTCGCCCACTGAAGCTATAGTATGTTCTAGGGATTGAGCTATTCGTCCATTTGTGCGACTTAAAAATCATCATTATGTTTTAGATTAATTAAAGTTTTCAGATTATTTTGTTTCATAATCTGGCTGGCTTGGTAAGAAAAAAGTTGACATTATCAGGAGGACCAAACGCATGTTAAGGTTCATATAGAAGAAGTCGAAGTGAGACCATAAATTTAATGTCTCTCTCTTTCTTTCTCTTGTTTCTTATTTAACTTTTCTCTCATATTTATTATTTTCTCTCTCCTATTAAATATATATTAGAGATAAAACTTGAATTATAGACAGAATCCATTGAAGATGAAATTTGAACTAAACGTCTATTCATTAGAGATCGAAAACATTAGTTTGTTTTAGATTACACTTAAATTGTAATCTACAGAATGTATTGGTGATGTTATACTATATTTATGAACTAAACTTGCCTCCTAAACACTGCAAATGATCAGTTAATTAATTTTTCTCGAAATTCTACAAATTACTTGATTAATAAATTTTGATGGAGTGGTATNGCCTCCTAAACACTGCAAATGATCATAGTTAATTAATTTTTCTCGAAATTCTACAAATTACTTGATTAATAAATTTTGATGGAGTGGTATAATGTTGGGTTTTGTCACCCAAATTCGGATTAGAATTTGCGTGATGTAGTAATGGGCTTGAAGATGTCAAAATATGGTCTAAGAAGAACAAACGAAGTTGACAATGCCAGCCTACCATTGGTGATGGCAAAAAAACCCGCCCTGCCCTGCTCTGCCCCGGTGCTGCCTTGCCTAGAATGGGGTCAAAAAAAATCCGCCCCAACGGGTTGGTGGGATGGGGCGGGGAGGGGGTGCCCCGCCCCGAAGCGCCCCTAACCCGCCCCGTGAAAAATAAAAAAAATAATTAACTACAAATTAAAAACAAAAAATAGTTAATTGGAAGTTTTTGAAAAAACAAAAATACATAAATGGGGTAGGAAACAGGGTAAGCCCGCGCCCCGAATCCGCCCCGTCTAAAGTGGGGTGGGGCATGGGGCGGGACGGGGCTGCCCCACCCAGAATCCGCCCCGTTGCCATCTCTACCTACCACTCGCACAATGCTCAAGCGGTGGTACAAAATTTTTAAGAAGGAGCTGTAGCATGCCTAACCCCCACTTGGGGCTAGCTGGGCACTCAAGCGCCGCAGCATTATGAGATTTTCCTTATTTTGTTTTCACACGTGATTTTTGACCTAGTTTTCTTCTTTATGACTATTTTTAGCCTTTGGTATGCAACCCTATAAATAGTAGACTATTTTTTACAAGTTTTGTATTACTAAAAATTAGAATCATTGTATAGAAACACAATTATTGTATTTTCTCGCCATTATAGTTCTTGAATAAAATTTTCAATTCTTCTGCCAAATGAAATTCTTGTCTTTGTGTTCATCTTATTGTTGTAATCAATACTTCATATCGTGTCGTATAACATCGTTTTGTTTCAACAAATAGAACCTATCCTTTAAAGTAAAGCCAGTATGGTAACTTTTAAATCATTTGTGATTTTGGAACCCAAGGAAATTCTGTGGAACAGTGCTTGGATTCATATATCCTAGTTAGATACCGTGGAAGATGTGAAGTTTTTTGGCTCAATTGAGAAATTTGGTTCTTGTTGAAGAGTTCGTTTATTCGTTGCAGTCGAATGTTTTCTTCAAGTGGAGAAATTTTAAAGTCTTTTTCGTTGTATCGAAATTTGTGTCAAGGTGAATATTGTTTGGTTTTGTGACCCATATTCAGACTAAAGTTTATGTGGTTTGGAGTATTGGACATGAAAAAGTCAAAATAGGGTACATGGAAGAACAATGGAGCTAACAGCGCTCGCCTACTGCCCACCGAACGTTAGAGCGGTAGGGCAAATTTTTTAGCATGAAGTTGTCACTCACCTATCCCCTGCTTGGCGCTCTACCGGCACCTCTGGCTCGCTTAGTGCTAGCTGGAAGCTCAAGAGCCGCAGCAATAAAAGATTAGGTAAAAAATTATATACATGTAGCATAACCCTTTGTTTAATTTCTTAACATAAATGTAGATTTTTTGCGGTAAGTCGTTCTAGTCCTTGTTTGATCTTCATTATTTTTAAAATGTATTTTTTCTCTCTCTTCTTTTCAATCACTTATTTTTTAATAAAATAATATTACGCGCAAATAAAAAAAATCTTATTTTTCACACATTCTTTATTAATATACTATTTCAAAATACATTTTTAAGAACAATCAGGGCTCGAACATGCTCTAATATTTTCATACAAGTTGTCTAATTAGGTTAGCAATTCTAGTAGACTAAATTTTGCACCGCACGTTATTATGACACAAAGAATGGACGTTTCATAATCTTGGTCTAAAAAAAATAAACATTGACTTTGTGTCATAATAAATAAGATTTTGTACTGAAAATATGAATTAAAAAAAAAAACAAACTTCTAATGATAGTTTGACCCAAAAAAAAAGTTATTCAAAGCCAAACTTTTGTTACTCATAGTTGAAATTACATTATAAAAGGAAGATTATTTTCTTTTTTCTTTAAGGGGATTCGAATTTGGCCTTGTGCCATCCGGATATCCAGAAGTTTCCCAAATTAAATTGATGGGAATCAAATCTTCCCCTTTGTAAAGCGCTTGGACATTCCGTCCATCCTCACAGGCCGAAGATCACCCTTTCCCAAACATATGCCACTGCAATATGTATCAACAATTAGCACCTTCCCCAATAGTGATGGCAAAAAAACCCCGCCCCGCCTCGGGGCAAAAAAACTGCCCCCACGGGTTGGTGGGGTGGGCGGGGAGAGGGTGCCCCGCCCTGAAGCACCCCGAACCCACCCTGTGAAAAATAAAAAAAAATAATTAACTACAAATTAAAAACAAAAAATAGTTAATTGGAAGTTTTTGAAAAAACAAAAATACATAAACGGGGTAGGAAACGGGGTAAGTCCGCGCCCCGAACCCTCCCCATCTAAAGTGGGGTGGGGCACGGGGCGGGACGGCGGGGCGGGAGTGCCCCACCCAGAACCCGCCCCGTTGCCATCTCTACCTACCACTCGCACAATGCTCAAGCGGTGGTACAAAATTTTTGAGAAGGAGCTGTAGCATGCCTAACCCCCACTTGGGGCTAGCTGGGCACTCAAGCGCCACAACTTTATGAGATTTTCCTTATTTTGTTTTCACACGTGATTTTTGACCTAGTTTTCATCTTTATGACTATTTTTAGCCTTTGGTATGCAACCCTATAAATAGTAGACTATTTTTTACAAGTTTTGTATTACTAAAAATTAGAATCATTGTATAGAAACATAATTATTGTATTTTCTCGCCATTATATTTCTTGAATAAAATTTTCAATTCTTCTGCCAAATGAAATTCTTGTCTTTGTGTTCATCTTATTGTTTTAATCAATACTTCATATCGTGTCGTATAACATCGTTTTGTTTCAACAAATAGAACCTATCCTTTAAAGTAAAGCCAGTATGGTAAATTTTAAATCATTTGTGATTTTGGAACCCAAGGAAATTCTGTGGAACAGTGCTTAGATTCATATATCCTAGTTAGATACCGTGGAAGATGTGAAGTTTTTTGGCTCAATTGAGAAATTTGGTTCTTGTTAAAGAGTTCATTTATTCGTTGCAGTCGAATGTTTTCTTCAAGTGGAGAAATTTTAAAGTCTTGTTCGTTGTATCGAAATTTGTGTCAAGGTGAATATTGTTTGGTTTTGTGACCCAAATTCAGACTAAAGTTTATGTGGTTTGGAGTATTGGACATGAAAGAGTCAAAATATGGTACATGGAAGAACAATGGAGCTAACAGCGCTCGCCTACTGCCCACCGAACGCTAGAGCGGTAGGGCAAATTTTTTAGCAGGAAGTTGTCACTCACCTATCCCCTGCTTGGCGCTCTACCGGCACCTCTGGCTCGCTTAGTGCCAGCTGGAAGCTCAAGAGCCGCAGCATTCCAAGATTTTCCTTGTTTTCTTTACACAGAGTTTCTTGACATTTTTAGGATTTGACATATACCCCTATAAATAATATATTCTTCTTTGCAAATTTTGTATTATTGAAAGTTAGAATAATTGTATATAGTTGTTGAATAAAAACTCCAATTCTTCGATGAAATTAAATTCTTGTCTTTGTGTTCGTCTTATTATTGTGATAAATACTTCATATGGTATCGTATAACTTCATCCCATTTCTAACATATATCTACGGACTACAGTTAGAATGGACAACATGCACGTTATCCTTTTCTAGCGAA